TGCGAGTTGGTGTCTTGAGGGTATTGAAAAGTGAATGAAGTGAATGAATACAATTATTGGAAACTTGGTGACGCAACTTGAAAATGACCATGTGGTAAGTGGCATATGGTACGTCAGATAAGAACAGAGAGGAAAGGAAGAGGGATAGTGGCTTACTCATTTATTATGCCACAAAGCGTTTCTTTTGCACATGCAACATTTGGGTGGCGCCATATTACCATGTGCCAAAGAAAGTTTTACTTATGTAAGAAAAATCCCGACGAGATGAAACCAGATGGAAAGCATCACGACCAGCTGAGAGTTGAAATTGTGTTTACCACGTAGAAAAGTGATTATGTAAGCAAAAGATTTGGGATATTTGCATTGATGTCAACTGAGACGAAGTCTGGCGAATGGATTGCAACAAACTGTTGCAATCCTTGTATTGCATGCCACTCTTTTTTCTTCATGCAATTGTCAAAAGTAGTGGTGACAAGTCTTACCTGCGTTTATTTTTGAAATAAAACGAAAATGCACATTTGTACGAAGAGCGTTCGTACATGTCCGTACACGTCAGGCAATTCAAGCCCAACATCTCAGTTCTCATTCGTCTCCTAACATCCTCTGCACGTAAAAGTTGAACAAACTTTTCTCGACTCCTCGCCTTTCCTTTCTGTGTGTAATGACTGCACTGACCTTTCATTGCTATTTCCACCACGTAACGTTACACCAAACCATGTAACACTAAAAGCATCACATTTTTCGTCCAAACCGACGCATTCAATCTCTTCTTCATTTCTTAAACTATTTTTCATTTCTACCGATCAATTTAGCACACTACAAGTCCCAAAAACACTCGTGTATCACCTGGTGGATAAGACCAAGTCCCTCCTTTTCCATGTTCGATGTACAGTACCATCGTCCATTTTTCTTCCCCTTAACTTGAAACTTTCTGTTTTTTTGAACTTTTGCAAATGACGACAAAAAGTTTGTACCCACTGGCTCAACGTTCTTGCGTTTGTCGTACAACTTTCTGCCCGACTATCTGTACGATCGCTTCACATGGTCGGGCGTCATTTTGAGACTTACTCTCCATCTGCTACGTTAGCATCTGCTAATTATTTCAAACGACCTGTCCACGTTCGTCTCTTGCTTTTCTTCCTACCTCCATCGACACTTTCAAATCTGGCAAGCAAATACCACACGTCAAACTCCCAAAAAAACGTTCTGCGTACATTTCAAAATCTTTTCTCAAGATGTTCGAGTCACAAAGTCATTCACCCAATTCTCCAGTTGATTCCGCCATGTTTCCACCCATTTATGATCGTACAACATCATGTCCCGAGCCTCTCGTTCCACTTCTTCCAAGTGTTAAAACACTTGATCTCTATCATGTATCAAAACATGAACTTGAACCATTTGACTTTCATTCGACGACAATGACACCACAAACTCAAGCAGGATCTTCATTAAGTTCCGTATTTGGTGATCAAGATCTTATTGATGCGATTATGTGTAGTCTTACGACGGAAATGCATCATCAAGTCTCAATTCCACCATTAAATCCACTCTTTCATCGTGTTTCGCCAACTGTACGTACAACAGTGACATCTCATCGTACACTTTCGAATTCGACCTTATCTAGTCGTACATTTTCCGAACCATGTCTTCGTAAACCAGGTACGTTTCTAAATAAAGATGGACGATGGATTAAAGGAAAACCATGTCATATGGATGGATGTGATAAACGCGCACAATCGAATGGATTATGTAAAGGACATGGAGGAGGAGCACGTTGTAGTTTTACGGGATGTAGTAAATCATCACAAGGTGGTGGTTTCTGTCGTGCACATGGTGGTGGAAAACGATGTTTGTACGATGGATGTGATAAAGGAACACAACGGAATGGATTTTGTTATCTACATGGTGGGGTACGATCATGTAGTACAGAAGGTTGTGAGAAAAAAGATCGTGGAAATGGAAAATGTTTTTCACATGGAGGTGGACGCAAGTGTCAAGCACAAATGTGTTTTCATACAATACGACGAGGAATTTATTGTGATCTGCATCATGGAGGAAGAAGTTAGAAGGAAGGTTTTTTTGATTCTTCTTTTCTGTAGTTTAGATGTGCAATGTAGTTAATATGAATGGATTTTTTGGGTTCTGTGTTGGGTTTTATTAGCTTAAAATGTACGTACAGAAATTCTGTGTGTCGGACAACTGAAGTTGAGGTAAGAAACCAAATGGCATTACAATGTGTCGGTTATACCACATGGTGGAAGGTTATATATGTTGTTTAGGTTGGTTGTACTGTATGTCATTTTTGAAGTATATCGTACAGGAATCTAGATGGTCGTACAGAGGAGAAAAGCCGGAGATTCTCTGGACTTGAAATCGACAGAGTCAGACAATTCTGCACTTGTCGCTTTTATTGTGTCAAAGACACAATTAAGGTAGTCGCTGGTGCGATGCATGTGCTGTGTCTTGGGCAGTGTTGCTGTTCTTGAACGGATGGTAGCTCAGTTATAAAATTTGCAATGTCATTCTGTCTTTAGGAGAACGCTTTGCATTGTTAGAGATCAGTCGTCGTTCGGCTTTAGTAAGTCTACGTAGAGCACAGGATGTGCATACAATCTCTTTGTGATATTTTGGAGGCAACTCGATTTCTTCTAACTATGACCGTAAGACACTTAATATAGTGAAGACGCAATCGAGTTGTTTAGACTACAGAAAAGTAGATTTATAGCGCCTGATAAGACTAATCCATCCGCCATATATTTATTCGTGTTTCGTCTACCACTTGCATCAGTATGTTGCTTCTGGACACCTCGCCATAGCTTCGCGCACTTGACACATGACGCTTAATGTTTTGAGATAAGAGAATCAATACGGAGTGTAGTCGGGATGATATCAGTAAGTCGAAAGGAACGGACAGTCACTTCCTCATTAAGAATGGAGTGTCTTCTAGATAGCGCCGGTGAGCTGGGATAAAACGGACTTGAGACTAACTACGTAACTAATGTACACTATAGCTCCTTCAGCTCGTACATTATATCAGGAGCTCTTGGGAGATCGCTAATATCGGGGCTGACATCAATCAATAGGACGACATCAATACAGCCAACGTTTATCTGTTCCGAATACACCTTCTTATGTATTAGTGAGGCCCATTACATTCCCTTTTTCTCCAAGTTGCATTGACGCGACATACGCAAGGGCAAAGAACATCGGAAAATCGTTTTGCAATGATAGCAGCGACGACAACGACAGTGGTGATGTCGCTTATGGCATCAAGACACTGGATCTTTAGCTGGTGAGAAATTGCGAACAGCAAACCTCGAGTTATGACTTTGAATTGCGCTGGCGTAATTGCCAACGCTGGTAAACTT